CACGTACCTGTCGAACGCCATGATCATGAGGATGGTGTGGGAGGTGGTGGCGAACATGTGGGTGGTGAACGCCTGGACCACGCACTCGTAGTAGCTGATGAGGTGTCTGGACGGAGGCAGCAGGATGTCGGAGAGCAGCCGGGGAAGGAAGATGGAGTTACCGAGGACGTCGCTGAGCGGCAGGTTGCAGAACAGCAGGTACATCGGCTGGTGGAGGTTCTTGTCCACGAAAACCAGAACCACGATGCCCACATTTGTAACCATGATGAAGACGTAGGAGAACAAGAAGAAGAGGAAGGCGGGGTAGGCGGAGGCCTCGGAGACGTTCAGTCCTTCCAGCTGCAGCATGAAGCTGTTGTAGCTGTGGTTCTCCATCAGCCTGCAGCAGAAGATCACAAAGACACTCAGCTGTTATGAAGCCGCAGACATTTAGAGGAGAGACGCTGCAGCTTTGTTCGGCTTCGTTTCTGTCGTCGAAGGTTTCAGAGCAGGTTTAAGAACATCAGATGGTAAATAGTGGTGGTTCCTAAAGAGCTTCATGATCTGTTTCCCGTTCACACACATTCACACACCGACAGCGAGGTGCTGCCTGCCATTGGGAGCAACTCGAATGTGGAGGAGATCGAACTGAAGCCACCAGAGGACAGTTTGATTCACAGTTTATGTTCAGCGATAGCAGAAACGTCCTGGTGGCCTCGGACCGGACCGTCACCATCCTGAGCTCAGATAAACAAACGTACGACAGACACAGCAAAGCGTGATCTCATTTGGCACGAAGAAGACGAGATGAGCATCTAATAATCCCACAGAGGACGGTGCAAACGTTTAGGGAACGTAGTGCAAAATTAAAACTCAACCAAAACATACACGAGGACCACTGCACAGACACACAATCGTTCATGAATAAAAACACTGAGAGAAGCATCGATGTCGCACAGATTTGTACAGAAGTCGAAGAATCCGTGTTTGTCTGAGCATCAGTGAAACAAAACCGTCGGCTGTGTTTCAGTCAATGAACAAAACATGTTAACATCTCCACACAGCCTCAGACACAATGGATCAGCTCAGAAATGCATTTAAACACGGTTCAGCGTTCACTTCTTTCTAACAAGCGATCAGCAGACAGTGAGAACGTCGTCACAGATTCACTTAGTTTCAGGCCAAAGCTTTTCAGTTCAGTCCCACAGAAGACAAAGAAAAGAGAACAAACACTCATCAGCACAAACTGGGAGCCGGTTTACCTGCTGCAGGCGTCGGTTTGTCGACGCCGCCGACGTCCAGCAGCTCCGCTCGGTTTTATAGACGTCACTTCGTCTTCAGGGGAATAATCAGGTGACGATCTACGAAGAGTTCATTTACAGAAACAGGAAACCCTCGTTTCCATCGTCTGCCTGAGACGACGTCAGTCAAACTTCTGTTTTTAATCATTTCTACTGAGTCAGCTTCAGTTTACATCGACGTCATCTCAAGCAAACAACAAAACAAATACGTCCTCTGAACATCTACAAACATCTGTTGTTTACACTTTAACCAAGTTAGTTCACAGACATCAGGAGTTTTAAAAACTCTTTATTGATTCATTTTGTTCTACAGTTTGTTTTCTGACACCTTTGCTGCCAGATTTTCACCATTTTTTTTGATGATGTCGATACAAACAAATGGATGAACACAGTTAAAACAACAACAACAACAACAACAACAGTTTTTCCACATATTTCCGCTATTTTGTGAAATTACAAAAAAGAAAAGAACTGAAAAAAGTCTGACTGTAAAAAAAAACAAGTAAAACTGTTCATTATGTTGACAGCAAGAATCAAACAAACAAACAAACAAACAAACAAACAATGTTTACTGCATTTAAATCAGCTGAAGATGTGACAAAACACACAATTATATCAAGAGTTGAACCATGTTGTTTTTCTTGCTTTCCCAGGTTTATTACGTTCCAGATGTTAACCAGTAAAATCACAAACGTTTATTTGTTGACTGGAAAAAAACGTCCACATTAAAAATCTGCATTTCTTTAAAAAGACGAATTCGTTCTTTTGTGATCAGAAAATCAAATGAACTAAAACACCATCAGCTGACAGAGAACTTCTTTTATTTGTACATTTATTTTACATTACAGTCATTTAGGTTTTTTCCCATTTTGGACCAGGTTTACGTCACTTTAGACGATTTACGGCTTGTTTGAACCCATTTCGAGTTATTTCCGTTAAAGACAATCTGCCCTTCAAACCTGTGGGCAGGTTTTGGGTTCATTGATGAGCTGATAGAGTTGTCAGGTTCAGACTTTGGCTGCCTATTTGGTTGATGTTCTTGTTGGTAAATAGAAGGTAATTGGTCTGCTTGAGTTGGTAGCACTGTTGCCTCACAGCAAGAAGGTCACCGGTTCGCGTCCCAGTGTGGGCACCGGGATCTTCCTGCGTGGAGTCTCCATGTTCTCCCCATGCAGCGTGGGTTCTCTCCGGGTTCTCCAGCTTCCTCCCACAGTCCAGAAACATGCTGAGGTTAATTGGTGATTGTAAATTGTCCGTAATGTGAGTGTGCTTGGTTGTCTGTCTCTAAGTGTAGCCCTGTGATAGACTGGTTACCTGTCCAGGTGAACCTGCCTTCACCCTGAGTCAGCTGTGACCCTGGTGAGGATTAAGCGGTGTATAGATGATGGACGGATGGTCTGCTTGATGGCATGTATGTTCTTTAGTTCTGTGTTTACCTGAAGTAGCTTCACGCTACAAATTTGATTGATAATGCTTTTGGTGTCACCTTCATAGGAGCATTAATAAGTCGTGAATCAGTGGATGGGGGCAGCAGCTGAGGCAGAACCATCAGGTTGGTGGAGGTTCTTAGCAATGAAAGAACCACAACACCCACATTTGGAACCGTGACGGGAAAGAAGAAGAAACGTCGACTTGTTGACGTCCACCTGCAGTGAGGACCTGCTGAAGGTTTTCCATCGTGATAAGACGACAACACAAACTATCAGATAAAAATGAAGCCGCAAAAGTTAAGCATCGACACGTGTTTGTTTAAAACAACATTTAGAAACTATGAGAATGATTTTTTAACCTGCTGAAGGTTTCAGTTTGGTTCATATCTGCACAGAAGATCTTTTCTAAACATCAGGGGATCAGTCAACGGATGGAAGCTGTCATCAAGCAGCAGCATTTAGCGCTAATCCTGCTTTACGGTGGAAACACCCAGAACCTTTTGTTTCCTCCGTGTGGTCGTGTTAGGTGGGGAATCGTCTTTCCTCGGGATCATCTGAAGAAGCCGGCCAGCTGCTGCGACAGACTCACGGTCAGATGCTTGACGATGCTGCTGCGTAGCTCCTTGCTGACCAGTCCGTAGATGATGGGGTTGGCGATCGGCGGGATGATGAAGACCAGCGCGCTGAAGAACTTCTTCAAGTTCGGGGAAGCCGACGGGAACCTGTAGCTCAAGATGATGATGACCGAGGCGATCTCGTAAAGCACGTAGATGATGAGGTGAGACGCACACGTCTGGAAGGCTTTGCTGGAAACGCTGCTGTCGGCTCGGCCTTGTTTCAGAGTGGCCTGGAGGATTCGGATGTAGGAGAAGGCAATGATGAGGAAGACGCCTGTGCTGACGGACCAGGTCATGGACAGACCTGGAAAACAACAAAAACATCAGTGAAGTGAACCATCTGAGAGGTAACGCTGTTTATCAGAGCCAGGCACGAAGAACATCAGATTATCGACTTTGCTGCAGCTCATAAATGTAGACGAGTGATGTTCGGAAACATATCGGCTAAAAAAAAAAAAAGGTTCAACTGCAGCCAGAGTTTCCACAGAAAAAGAAAATGGCTCAAAAACTGCATCATCATGTCCACGTGTTGACCTGAAGCGTCCCTAAAAAGACCCAGAACTCATCCAGAGCTTTCTGTAGTTATCAAAGCAGCACAAGTTTAAATCTGTTTTATCAGAAATGGGTTGTTGTTTTTTTAAATGTTGTAATCAGAACAGTGCTGATCACTGGGTCCAGTCATCAGTCCACCTTTGTGCTCCTCACAACAGAAACTGTTCCTGCTGCAGACGAACAAGTGGGTCATGAAACGAGGTTCTGGGTGTTTCTGCTCCAAAAAACAATAACAACAACCTACAATCAACATGTCCACAGATGTTACCAAGACTGCTCCACATCTGACAGACATTTAAAATGTTTTCATGCGACCACCCACACCATCATCATCACGGTACGCATCGAACATTTTCTAAGATAACACAAATTAAAGCTGCAAGCGGCGATGGACTTAACCGGCAGGCGGGTCTCAGATCCGGCGGGTCGAGTTTGCGGCAGATCGGAGCACGTGTGGCCCAATTAAAAGCCACTTCCTGTTTAATGGCGAGTCGTGGCGGCGTACGTGTCAGGCCGTGGTGGAAATTGGAGCACACACAGGCCAGATGTGCAGCACATACCGCTTTATGGCGGCGTCTTTTTTCAAAATGGCGGACTTCCTGTTGGGTTTAGGGCTTGGCGCTAATTGACTTTTTTGTGGGTCCTGACCTGACACACACGATCTCGCAGGTCTAGGTGAAACGTCCGACTCCTTGGAGTGCCGGACACAGCGACAATGCAAATATTGGCCTTTTTATGCGAATTGTGCCGCCATTTCCACACCGTCAGACTTTTGCGTTTTAATAATTTTTAATCACCACGTCCTGCCAAATTCTACGCATGTGCGACATAAGACAAATGAGCGAAAATCGGCCGTAACGCCTGTCGTTTTTTCAAAATGGCGGATTTCCTGTCGGGTTTACGGAAAAGTCCAAGTTGACATTTTTGAGCGTCCTGAGCTGCTACATACTGAATTTCGTAGCTCTCTGTGAAAATTTGTCCCGACGGTACTCCATTGAAATTGTCAAGGTGGCGCTGTGGAGCCATTTTGGCATTGACATGTCCACGTACTTTAAAATATTAAAATTTTCGCCAGTCCTGGTTTGGGCATGTTTAGGCCCTCAAAAATGTGTTTCTTCTGGCGGAAACGTAATAATAAAGCCAAAGGTTTCAACAGGGCCTCTGCACTGGTGTGATCGGACCCTAATAATAGAAAGTAAATAGAATTAGTTTCTACCCTCGTCTGCTCTGCTCAGCCTCAGGGTTGTTTCATGTTTGTTTTTTATCACATCAATAAAAACTCAGCGCGTCACTAAACCACCGTCCTCTAATCAATTATTCATCTGACAGTTAAATATCATTCACTGGTTAGAAATACTGGCTGCAGCTGAACTTCTGCGGCTTTTGAAAGAACAGAGCCGACGTGAACCCGCCGCCGAGGCGCTCACCGTAGATGTTGTTGGTGGGCGTGGGGCTGCAGGCCAGGCTCAGGATGGCCCGGTTGCTGCAGTAGATGTGGCGGATGGTCCGGCCGCACAGCGGGACGTTGACGTGGAAGGCGAAGAGCACGGCGATGAGCAGCAGCGCCACCAGCCAGGCCAGGGCGCAGCAGGAGTGCAGCCGGGCCGAGGTCATGATGGCGTGGTACCGGAGCGGCTCGCACACCGCCACGTACCTGCACGGCGACAAAACCTCAGAGACAGAGTCGGGCAGCGCCGGAGCTGCACTGGTGGCTGCCCATGTTTAGGATCTGCTCAAGACTGCAAACTGTGTCTGACTTTAATGTTTCAGGTCAGTTCGGATTATTTCTATTTGCTAAACACCAGAATAGTAAGAGAGAGGATTTCTTTTATTACTTTCTTTAAAGTCAGAAGTTTACATCCACTAAGATGCCTTCAAACTGTTTGGAAAAGCCCAGATGATGATGTCATGGCTTTGGAAGCTTTTGATTGGTTAATTGACAACATTTGAGTTAATTGGAGGCACACCTGTGGATGTGTTCTGGAGACTAAACCTGAACTGGCCTTAATGACCATCAGTACATCTGGAGGAAGAAGGAGGAAGCTGGAAGCCTGAGAACACCATCCCAGCTGTGGAGCACGGGGGTGGCAGCATCATGCTGTGGAGGGACTGGTGACCTTCACACAATAGATGG